CTGTATGAATGATCTAAAGAAACTCTTGTTTCTCTGATTGATATGCCACATAACTAGGTGAGGCATTTTTATTATTATAAGAGACAAGGACTAAGCCCCAGCTTTCTCATCTATAAAAAAAGTGAGGTTGACGTATATGATCGATCTTCAAGGATCCTTCTAGTTCTAAGAGTACAAGTCTATTTAAAAGAATTTCAAAGGATAATTAGTAAATTATTCTATTGCATTCAAAGTGGCTTCTTAAATTAAACAATGCTTAAAGTAAATAAATATTGGCTAGACCCTTGAAATTTCAGTTACATAGAAATTTTCAGCATGATTAACAATAGTAACTGGGATTTGTAGTTTTTCATTAGTGAGGTTTTTGCTGAAATGTAATTTGTCATATATGCCTTACTCTGCAAGTTTTAGCAAGTTAATTTTAACTAATCAATATTCACAGCAAAGTTTGAAAACTTTTCTTACCATTTTACAATCTTACTAAAATAATTTATTATTTGACAGACATCTTTAACACACCGAACAGAAGTCTCTGTTTGGCCAGAACAGGCTGGCCTGTCCCCAGGCTTCCCCTGACTACTTATAAACTAGAAATACTTAAAATTACTTTTTGTTTTTGGAAATGGCATGATATAAACTATGTTATTAACATGATATTTCAGAAACTATGTTGTTAACATGAGATTTCACAAAGTCAGTACCTAGACTTTGTAATTTGGCACATCTATCTCAAACTGTCTGGAGACAGGGACACTTTTTGCGCCTTGAGATTCCTACATCATCTTAAAGCAGTATTACTCTCTTACAATACAGAACTGCTGAATTTTGTAGTAAACCAAGAGATGACACTCATCCTCAGTCATACACTGCCTGATTCTAAAGAATGTCTTTAATGCGGCAGGTACAAAAGAAATTTTTTTTTTTACATGACTGGTTGGGAAAAGGGTTAAAACTTTTCAATTTATTTCTCAAATTCAGTTCACATTTTACATTATAAAACTGAGCCACAGCCTGCTCCAATATACCCTTCTCAATGTGAATCTTGGATTCTTGGGAAAATTCTCAATAAGCAGAGGCTGATATCTTTGATTTGTTCTCTAACTCCAACCTCCAGAGGGCTGTGTGTTCTACTAGCTACAAGGCACATTTTCTATCCCAAAAGTCAGACATTTTTGTCCAGTTCCAAGTTGGACTACGATAGACTCTGAGGGAGTAGAGGCCAGAAAAGTGGTTAGAAAGAAAGAGCTACAAAATCTGTAGTTCAAAGGAATGCTATAGATAAAGCATTTGATAAAGTCTCTCATGCTATTACTGTGGAAAGGATGGGGGAGATGGGGTGTACACAATAGTTCAACTCGATGGACTTGGAACTGTCGGAATAGCTTAAGACCCAAAAAGAAAAGACAATTAATGGTTCTATAAACTTGAATGATGCTCAATGGATCATTCCAGGAATCCGTAATTGGTCTACACTAATTAATTAACATCAGTGACTTGGATAATAGCATGCTTATCAAACCTGCAGATGACCCAAACTTTAGCAGTATATCTAAACATAGGATGACAAGGAAAGGATTCTAAAAGAGGAAATATGCTAGAATATGGGGCCAAAGTCATTAAAATGAAATTCAACTGGGATATATATGTAATACGTCCAAATAAATTGCTGTCACAAATACAAGAAAGGAGAAGCATGGTAGGGCAATATTCCATTTGAAAAAGATCTGCAAGTTTTAGTGAGCTATGATTTGAATATAAGTCAACAGTGTGATATTATAGCCAAGAAAGAAATGCAATCTTAGAGATGTCATGGCGTCCACAAGTAAGGTAAGAGACAAATTTTTTGTTGTCCTAGGTACCACATTTTAGTAAGAACAACATTTAAGCTGGCAGGAACTCAGGAAGCCAACGAAGATAGTAAAAAGCTTTAAGTATGGCTTTAAGTCATAGGAACCCCAACTGCAAGAAATCCAGGGCCACGCAAAACCCCATCCAGACTGGCTGGGAGAGAAGAATCAACAATAGAAGAGTACTTTTATGCACAGCCTAGGATACTCAGACACCCATGGAGGGGTGGGTGCCGCAGGAAGTGGTAGAAAACAATGACATGGCTGATTATAATGGGAGTCATTATTTCCAAACCTTTTGGTTTTTTTTTGGCTAGGCAATGGGGTTAAGTGACTTGCCCAGGGTCACACAGCTAGTAAGCGTTATGTGTCTGAGGCTGGATTTGAACTCAGGTCCACCTGCATCCAGGACCGGTGCTCTATCTACTGCGCCACCTAGCTACCCCTCAAGCCTTCTAATAAGATGGAGGACCACCAAGTCATACCATCTGCCCTGACGCAATGTTTTCCAAACCCCTGGGCCCAGGGAAAACACCTTTTCTATTTTGGCCTAACCTGAATTGTCCTTTGAGGTCTCTTCTATCTATTAGTTCTAAAGTTCTCTGCATTTGTATCCATGGAGTGCTGACAGAACAGGCCCAAGAGACAGGGAATATTACTTTCCACTGGTGTGCTGGGAAGGTATCAATCAATGGGCTTATCATACAGTCTTAAAATGCAATGGTAGTAAAGAATACAAGGCTCCAGAAAAGGTAAACATTCAATGATACTGTTTTCCTTTCTTACTTGGGGTCTCTAATGAAGTCATTCCACAAAATATCCAGGCGTTCAGTAGACTGGGTTTTTGTTTTATTTTTTACAGCCGGGAGGGTGGGGGTGAGGTGTCCCTATGTGAAATACAGAGGTGTTCTGGATCATCAATATTGGTAATTTAGGAGGAAAAAACATAAGCATCAGAGATGGGATTTGTATTATATGAAAAGAAGGGCATATGAATTTGGAACTACAACCCCAAAATTACCAAACTGCATACCCAGCAATGGGTCTACTAGGTCCCTACCCCAAAAAGATCAAAGAAAGAAGAAAAAGATTTTATGTACAAAAATATGTATAACTGGTCTTTTTTGCAGGGGCAAAGAACTAAAAATTAAGTGTGTATCTAACAAATCTGTAATAGCTGAATAAAAATATGAATGTGATGGATTATTATTATGCCATAAAACAATGAAGGGGAGGTTTTAAAGAAACCTGGGGAGACTCATAAGAACTGATGAGAGCACAGTAAGCAGAACTAGAAGAACAACTTAAAACTACAACAACACCACTATAAAGAAACAATTTTAAAAGATAAGAATTCTGATCAACTCAATGACCAACCAAAATTCCAGAGGGCTGATGATGAAGCATGCTACCCACCTCTTGACAAAGAGGTGATGAACTCAGGGTGCAGAATGAGACACATTATTTTTTGGAGGTGGTCAATGTGGGAATTACCCTAGGCAAGTCACTTAACCACTCTCAGCCTCAGTATCCTCATCTGTAAAATAGGGATAATAATAGCACCTACCTCACATGGCCTTTTTGAGGATCAAATGAAGAGTACCTGTAAAGTTTCTGGCTTTTTTTTTTAAGCAAACCTTAAAGCACTATAAGTGGAGCTATTCTGTCATTATTATTATTATTGTTGATCACATATAATTGTTACAAGGTTCTTGCTTTTCTTTTACTTTTCCAGTGGGGGGCAGGGAGAGGTTAAAAAAAAAAAGGCTTGACAAATGAAAATAGAATTTAAAGGAAAAAAAGGGAGGAGGGGGGAGAGGGGAAATGGAAACAGGAACCATAAATCACACACACAAGCTACAGCTACCACTTTAAAATATATCACAAGAATTTTAACAAAATGATCAAAAGTATGAAACTTTAAACAAGGGTATATAGAGCAACGAATACGTTGCATTGGCTCTTGTTTCTACTTCTACCAATTTACACTTTTCTGGCAACCACCAGTAAATGAGTAAGTTCTTATTTCAACTATACAATTCCCAACCCAACTGTTTATATCAACACTTCAAGGCAACGACCTTTCCTAAGTGAAAAAAAATGAATATGCTTTCTAAACTAAACTTTAGTCCTAGTTAAATAATTTGAAATGAATCAAAGAAATATGCAGAATATGTCACCTACTTCTAAATCAATTATATCAATTATAAAAATACTCCGAAACAAATCTAACTGACTATTCTTTTAAAAGTACAGCTTTATCCCAGTTAAATATAATGGCACTAGAGATGAGGAATATATCTTAGCAGATAATAGCTATGTACTCATTTCATGTCGTAAGTAAATTATCAATATAATATTGTGAATTTCCTTTAGGTTGCTTAATTTCATTAGGTGGCTGCTGGATGATGCAGTGAATAGAATATTGGTCCAGGAGTCAGGAAGACCTGAGTTCAAATGCAGCCTCAGAAATGCATGAGCTTTGTGACTCTGGCAAAGTCACTTAACCTATATCTGCCTCCCTTCCCTCAACTATATAAAGGGGACAATAATGGTACATACATCCCAGGGTTGTTGTGAGGAAAAAAAATTAGGTAATATTTTAAAAGCATTTTGCAAACCTTAAAGCACTACATAAATACTAGCTATTATAATTCATCACATTATTTATAACAGATCAGTGCAATACTTCAAAAGCTTATAAAAGTTAACAAGAGCATTAGAATTGTTTGCACTATCTACCACAGAAATATCATGGTAAAGAAAGTCTTTTAAAAAAGAAGTCTTTATTTAAATGATATTAAGCAGTGGAGTAAGAACAAAAGCATACTAACAATCTGAGTAGGGAGTGACTTTAGATATCTATTAGCCAAACCCATTCATTTGATGATATGGCAAAACAAAGTCCAGTGAGGAAAAACTACTTACCACATATCACAAAGCCAATTAACAGCAGAAACAATAACACAACACACATCTTGACCCTCCACCCCGGTACCTGTGCTCTTTCTACTTACTCTTAGTACTAATATGAAAGTAATGGAGGAAAAGTGCAATTTGGTGAATAGCTATCATTAGCCAGAACTACAAACAATTTCTCTAGGTAGGGGTGTCGATTCACTAAATGTAAATATAGTTTTAAGGAAGACTCACCGTAATATTTTCCAAATCAAGGTGTTTGTTGTGTACAGTCTCACAGAGTCGCCGGATTTTTTCTTTAATTTTGTTCATGTCCTTTTCGTTCAGTAGCTTCGATGATGAAGCATCTTGTTCCAGCTCCAGAAGTCGAATCATAAGGTCTAGACTAGCTCTATCAAGATCCATGTTCAAACGGTCTCTACTTAGTATATACATAAGAGCTGCTGTGCAAAGGGACAAATTCTTTTAAAAAAGAAGAAAGAGAAAAGTTTTAAGTAGCAAGTCAAATTTTGAGCAAATGAGGCAAATTCCTAAGTTTATGGCGTCAATATTCCAAAAGACTGAACTGATTTATGTGTAACAATGATTTTAACTCACAAATTGAAAGAATTTTTATTACAATGAGTTTGAAGTTCTTTAGCATGCAAAAGGTTACAGGATTTCTTAAATTTTCCTTCACTGGAGTATAGAAAGTAAGTCAAATTTTTGCTTGACCATTTGGGGTTAAACATTTGGAAAAACAAATAAAACATTTTTCAGTTAAATGTCATCATTTGGGAAAACAAACTACATTTTCATCTTTATTAAATGCCTTTTATACCCTGGATAAGAGAAACGGCATTTCAAAATACTGAAATGTTCAACTCCTTATAAGCTTTTACATGTATGTTCACTGAGTTTTTACTGACACACACACAGTCTGGAAAGTAACAGCTTTTCCATATGTAATGTGAGATCAAACACATATTATAGTGGCTATAGAATGAATACCTGTCCCCAAGTCATTCTCCCTCCTTTCCCAGGAATTCAATTCTAGCTCACTGTATTCTCCTGCCTTTTTACCTAGGAAACTTAAATATCTATATAGATGTTCCCTCAAACTGTCACTAAAGTCTCAATTTTCAGCTGTCCCATGACCTACTCCTTCACTCCACCTCAAAAACAAAAAGAGATGGTCACATACTGGATCTTACCATAATCTGTAAGTGTCTACCATTCCATCTCTCCCCATGCCTCCCCCCTTTATAAATTAATTCTTTGTCCTCATCCACAGAGCCAATTCCTCCCACTGAACAGTATTTCCTTATGACATTACCCCTGCTCTGACTTCACTTCCCTCCAACCTTGACCTTATAGTTAGCCAGCTGAACTCTCCCTACACTGTCTTCTACTCTTGAATCTCTTGAATTGTTGTCCTACAACTGGGGCAATTCTTGCTAAAACTCACCACTAGATCATTCCTACCACCTGACTCCTCCCCTCCTACTCAAATGTGGTTATAGGATTACAGGAAGTTATGAATAATATCCAACTTCAACCAGGCCCTTGCTGCAAATGCAGCAAGGCAATTCTTTTATTCTTTCCTAATTAATCTTTAAATCAAGAAACTGCTGAACAGGTCTACTATAAATCTGTTATATGTCAACTAGGCCATCATGGTGGCAAAGCTATCCTTTGACATATGCTTAATCATCTCACTATAGTGCCCTTTTCAAACTTTTCATCCCTTCTAAAACCTTCTGTGGATCTTCTGCCCCCACTCAGATGAGAACCTTACCTCATATTTCATTAAAAAGGGGGGGGGGGAGGCAATTTGCTAAGAGCTCCTTCCTCATCTCACATAACTTACATAACTTCTTCCACCTCAGTCTTAAATGAAGGGGTAGTCCTCATTTCCAAGGTAAAGCCCTATATATGCACATGTAATATTATTCCACCCCAACTTCTTCAACATTATCCCTTCTATCATCCTCACTCACTAATCTTAATTTCTCCCTGTTTGTTGGCTGTTTCTTTGCTGCCTACAAACAGTCTCCCCCATCCTTGAAACAAAGAAAAAAACACCCTTACTTGATCCATTAATTCTCTCCAGCTGCTGTCCTGTGTTTTTCCTCCTAAAGAGGAAGGTTATGGAAAGTTAACAGACTTGAGAAGGATATCTACAATCTATACCTCCATTTTTTTTACCTCTCAACTCACTTCTAAACCCTCTGCCAGTCTGGCTTCTGTACTCATGATTAGACTGAACCTGTTCTCTCCAAAGTTACCAATGATCTCTTAAACTGCCAAATTCAGTCAATCAATAAACATTTATTACATGCCTACTTTGTGCCAGGGACCACACTAAGAGCTGACAACACAAAGGCAAAAGACTGCTCTCCAGGAGTTCACAGACTAATGAGGGAAACAACATGTAAACAACTGCATACTATATACAGGGCACATCAAGAGGGAAGGCACTAGAATCAAGGGGAAGAGGTAAGGCTTCCAGTAGAAGGCAAGATTTTTGCTGGGACTGGAAGGAATGTTGGGCAGCCAGGAGGGAGAGATGAAAAGGGAGAGCATTAGCGGCATGCAAGACAGCCAATGAAAATGCCCAGAGTTGGGAGATGGACTGTCTTGTTTGTGGAACTGGAAGGAGGCTAGGGTCAACAGAGACAGCAGAATCTGTGGGGGCAGCATTTGGGGTACATAAAGTTTAAAAAAGACTGGGGTGGTGGTGGTTATGAAGGACTTTGAGTGCCCAGATTTTATATCTGATCCTCAAAGTGACAGGGGAGCCAACTAGAGTTTACTGAGTAGCAAGGTGATATGTCAGACTTGCACATTAGGAAGATTTCTTTAACAGTTGAGCAAAGGATAGAGTGGAGTGAGGAGAGACTTGAGGCAGATGACCAATCATGACCTTTTCTCAATCTTTATTCTTCTTGACCTCTCTGAAGTCTCCGACTTAGTTGATCACTCTCTTCTCCTTGATACTCTCAACTCTGGGGTTTTCAATGTTCCCTCCTGATTCTTTTCCTGCTTGTCTAACCACCCCTCAGTTTTCTTCGCTGGATCTTCAATGAGGTTTCTCCAAAGGTTCTATCTTAGGCCCTCTTCTTTCTCTATACTATTTCTCTTAGTAATGCCATCAGCACCCATGAATTTGGTTATCTTTATCTAGATGATTCTAAGATCTCTTCATCCATCCTAACCCTCTCTATTGACCTCTAGTCTCTCATCTTTGTCTATGAACACCTGAAACTTGATATCCTGTAGACATTTCAAAACTAGCAGGTCCAAAATGAAATTCATTACTGTTCCCCTCTCCCAAATCACCCTTTCCCCAATTTCCCTATTAGTGTTCAAGGCACCACCATCCTCCAAGTCACCTAGGCTCTCAAGTTAAGCATTATCTAACCCCTTCCTCATATTCAAACAATTACCAAGTTGATTCTACTTTTGAAACATCTCTTGTATAAGCCCAAACTTGTTCCTCTTGCATACTTCTCTATTTCTATCAAAAGCACCACCATTCTTCCAGTCTTCTAGGTATTATTAACCTCGACTCCTCACTCTTCTTCACCTTACATCCAATCAGCCACCAAATCTCACTGTGTCACCTCTACATCTTTCTCATCTTAGCCCTCTCTCTTTAGTCACACAACTCACACCTTAACTCAGGCACTTATCACCTCCTGCCTAAATTTATTACAAATGTTTCTTAATAGGTTTCAATGCCTCAAGTCACTCCACCTTCTAGTCAAAATAATTTTCCTTAACAGTAGACCTGTCATGTCAAGGAATATGTCATTTCCTTACACAACCATCTCCAGTAGCTTCCTAGGCCTCTGGGATAAAACACCAAGTCCTTCACAACCCTTTGCCAACCTATCTTTCCAGGCTCACTGGACAGTAGTCTCTCTCCCACATTCTGCAATTCAGCCACATTTGCCTCCTTTCTGTTCCTCACAGATTACATTCCAACTTCCATTTCCATGCCTATTCCATCCATTCTATTTGTATCTCTGGTGCCAAGCACAGTAACTGACACATAGGAGACATTTTGCACTTGTAGACTAACTGAAATGAACACATTTGGATTTCATTTAAACATGATTAGATTTATGTAAAATCTCCAAAGTCACTGAGCTTACATACCTGGTACATTCTGACAAATATGTTTTTATGGTTTCAGAAGTAGACCTTCACTAAGGCTAATGATCCACTTACCCTATGCATTAATGACCAAATTCTATATTTGAGACCTTGCCCATTCCCAACCACTATTCTTAACCTCAAGCGTCATATATTGACAGGGATAGGAAATTACTGCACTGAGAGTTTAAAATAGAAACTTCAAGGTAGTCTGATGACAAAGAGACTGCAAAATGGTTACGTGCACACACACCCCCACCCATTCAACATATATTAAAAAACAAAGAAATGGGTTGGAGTTAAAGTAGCTAATGTAAGCATCATTGACCATTTTCAGTTCTAACTGGTCTTGAAACAGTTTAAGCTCTCAAAGTCAATCTGTCCAAATGACATCACTTCAAAATAATTAACTTCGGAGGACTTCACTGGCTTAGTATTAACTTTTGTTGTTATTATGTGTAGCAGCTAAATAGGCTTGAAAGGATGTGTCATATGAAAGAACATATTAGGCTTCCTAAATTTCTAAACAATTTCTTGTTTTCATCCGCCCAGGATTTTCATATTCCACAAAAATTTAATAAATGCCTGGACTGTGTGCATGGCTCTATTCCAGGTGCTTCGGGGCATATAAGACAGGCTCTATCCTCAAGAATTTTACAATTTAGTTGGGACAATGTATAAACATGTATGTACTTATGTGCATAAATGCACACCCATATTTTTACATTGACATTTTTGAGATATACACACACCTAGCAATGTAATTTGTGTCAAAGGCAACACTTTTTGTAGTAGCAAAGAACAGGGAATAAAATATTGGTTCATTAATTAGGGTAGGTTTAACCAAGATATGCCATATGAACATATTGACATATTACTATTGTCTGTAAGAAAATAATCAAGAGAGAAACATGATAAAACTCAAATGAACTGATTTAAAGTAAATCAAACAGAACTAGGAAAACAATATACATGACAACACTGTAAATGAAAACCAACAACAAAAAACAAAACACAAACAAACACTACGGCCACCAAAATAATCTAAACTGAATGCTGCAAAATTTTAATGACCAAGTTTGGATCCAAAGAAGAATTATAAGGAGGCATGTTGCCACCTTCTTTGAAAATGGATGGGGTGGGGGCAGGTGTCTATGAGCATAGAACACAGAATATAGTATCAGATTTTTCAATCTGCTGGTTTTACTGATCAGTTTTCTTCCCTTCTTTGTTATAAGAGATGGTTCTCTGGGAAGAGTAGCTGGGAAAGGATACATTGGGAAATGTGTGTGATCCATGTTTTGAGTACTTGAGTAAAACAATTACGTTAAGACTTTAACAGTTTGTACAAAACAAAAACTTTTTTATGAAGGCTTAGATCTATAATTTCATCAATACAGGGAATCCTATGGAGGTCAAGAAACTCCTTCCAATGAGGCAGAGTAGCAATTCCTCTGTAACTAATAATCTTACAGAAGTGTCTGGTGGGGGCACTGAGGTTAAGTGATTTGTGCTTCCTGATCCCAAGGCTGGCCCCTCTATCCAGCACTGCATATTTCATCTTGAGAAAAAAAGGTTAATTTGACATAACTAATTCAGACTGTAAAAATATTAAAGTGTGAGTACTTCCTTCAAAGCCTTTGAAAACAAAAGCTCTTCCGTGACATTAGGAGACTTACTAGCTGCCATAACCAAAAGAATTCATCACTGGATGGTTCATCCTGAAGATGAACTACTCTGCACTTACTCATTCTGTCTGTTACTAGACACACACCCTTGGCCTTTTAGCCTAAAAACATTTGCATCGCCTGGCAGAGCCCTGAAGAACCTTGATACTATGACAATTTGCTATAATTTTGAGAAAATTACTGCTAGAAGTAGAAATAATATAGCATTGTTCTGGCAACCTTTATCTTGTCCTTTTAAAACTTCTTATTACTTAAGATGTAAACATATGCCTATACAAATTAGCAAGTGATAGCTTTCCAGTAGCTAAGGTCTAGGTCTATTAAGCATAAAAATAAATTTACTATTAAAATCATTGGGCCAGAAATTATTAAAAATGGTTACTCAATTGAAATTTATCAACTGACCACAACAGTCAACTTTCATAATACAGCTTTCTGCATGCCCTGACATGACTCATTTGGAATAACACCTCCTCCCCCCCGCCCCAATCCCCCTTCCATTTAGGTGAGAGAATTTAGAGCTAGGATAGACTACAAAGATCAACCTCCTCATTCTTCATAGCTGAGGAAACTGAGGCCCAGGGAGAAGTGACTTGCCCTAGAGGTGACAAAGTGAGTTAATGGAAGATCTGGGATTTGAACACAGGACTTTTGATTCAAAATTCTTTTCATATATCGTCACTGCTGCTTATTCGTCTTAGTCTATAAAATATCGTTTCTATCTTACATCTAAGTTACCCCTTTTACTCTTCCCTTTGGCCCTTCTATAAATCAGATTTAAAACAACAATAATGGCTCACATAATTAATATGTTTTATAGGAGGCAGTTTCAAGTATTAACACCCCTACTTTACAGATGAGAAAAAACGATGGTTAGAGAGGGGAAACGACTGACCAGTGAAAGGACAGAAGACCTGAACTTAGGTCTTCCAAGCTCTAAATCTAGCTTTCTTTCCACTACACCAGTACAATTCCAGAGTAGGCTCCAATCAGATTACAATGTGATTGGGGAATATTTAACAAAATAAGTAAAAATATAATAGAACAGAGGCAGCTAGGTGGTGCAGTGGACAGAGCACTGGCCCTGGAGTCAGGAGGACCTGAGTTCAAATCCAGTCTCCGACCAGACACTTGACACTTACTGGCTGTGTGACCCTGGGCAAGTCACTCAACCCCAACTGCCCTGTCCCCCAAAAAATAATAGAACATAAATAATGTTAATATGTTGTTTTGAGCTTGACATCTCTGCACTACACCACATCCTAAAAACAATCGAAATGAATAAACTGCTAAAGGAAAAAAAATTATACAGTGTTTTAAGGTTTGCAAAGTGCTTTACACATTATCTCATTTTACAGATTAGGCTATGTGACTTGAATATGGTCAACACAGCTAATGCAGAACTGAGATTCAAACTCAAGTTTCTGATTTCAAGCCTGTCCCTCTCCACTCACTATGCCTTACCCCCTTTCCCCCTAATTTTGTCTAATGAATATAGCAATCTACTTATACACACCTCATTATCTCTTGATCATATCTGAATCGCTTTGGTCTTTAATCAAATTTTTCAAAGTACTTGGTATAGCTTCTTGAACAAAGTAACCATCTCAGACTGGACAAGACAGTACAATTCAATTAACTGACATTCAATCCCTAATTTTTTTTTTAAACCTATACTACATTTTTAGTCAAGGGAATCAGTAACTTAGCTGAAAAATAGGAGATTATTACAAAAATGAGCCTCCAGGTTATTTCCTAGGGTCCGTGTACAGTCTTACCTTTTGCAACTCAGGTACCATCTAGCAAAAACTATAGGGTAATAACCATGATGCACTGGAAAGATTCTAAGTCAAAGACAGATTTAACTACTACTAAAACTATTACAACGGTAGTAAAGCATACTAGTATATTCTAGCAAGATGGCAACAACAAAATATGAAACAAAATGGGTTGTCTAGGTAAAATCAAATTAAATAGAAAATTCTACACAGTAAACATATATTTAACTATACCAGTGTTGTCAACTCTACATCACAATGAAACACCAGGCCAATATGCTTCATATATAATATAGCATATGTAAGGGTAGCTAGGAGAATTCTATTATTGCTTAAATGTACACTTTTGTCTAGGCCTGATCAATGCATCCTTATTTCCTACTTGCATTTAGCAATTCTCTTTTCCGTATAGCTAGACACAAAAAAGTCATATGGGACACATTCGGTCACTAGAACTACTTTGCAGACCAATATCTCTCTATGCTACTAGCATCTAACTGCATTAGAAGATAGGGATTTCTCAATACATCTTACCAATCATGAGAAGTACAGGGCTTACAGAATTAAGCATTAAATATTAAACACAGCTTAGAAAAACAAGAGAGAAATGGAAAATATAACTCAGGTCAGAAAACATTTTCCCTACTCAAAGAATTTTTTTAAAACAGCAAGTTCAGGGGCACCTAGGTGGTACAGTGGATAGAGCTCTGGCTTTGGAGTCAGGAAGACCTGAGTTCAAATCTTGCCTCAAACATTTAACACTAGCCGTATGACCCTGGGCAAGTCACTTAACCCCACTTAAAGCCTCACCAAAAAGAAAAACAAAAACAAAAAACATCAAAAACATCAAGTTCAATCATTTTCAATATAAGATAATTATAATAAATATAATCCCAAGAAATAAATGTTTCCATGAGAAATTACAAAGGGAGGGGCAGAATTTGAAACTGAAAATTTTAAAATGAATGCTTGTTAAAAACAACAAGATGTCAGATCCTAGAAAATTAAAATACCTGGTGGTGTTGTGAATCATCCAGTGTTTTAAAAACCATGGCCACCATCCCATGTGCTCTCAGGTGCATTCGGAAACCGGGCATGGCGCATTTAGTGGCCAAGCTAATAACACTGTAAGAAAATAAGCTAGTTTAGCAAACAGTATTAATTTTTGATTTAGTAAAAATTACAAAACAAAAAACACATTTTGAAGACACAAAATATAAGTTTTAATCAAAATATTTATTGAGTGCATGCTATGTGTATATTGCCACAATGAACAATATATGTAAACAAACGCAGGAAAAACATACAGTCCTTTGGGGCCATACACGGACTAAGATTCAGTCCTTTTATTTTAAGATGACAACAATTTTGTAAAAAGACTAGCTGAATGGTTCTTTTACAACATGAATATTTTCCACAAATATAAATATCAATGTATTAGTAAGGTGATAAGTATAACCCAGTCTCACAATTTCCTTGGTTTTCATGACACTCCACTTTTATGATTTCTCTACTGACTTATGCCTGTCTCTTTTACAGGTATCTTATTTCCAACCTGTGAACATCATATATCTCCCATGATTTGACAATGGCCACAAAGATAATAAATAATCGGCAAAGCAGGGACTTGACCCAGGGCTTCTAATTTCAAATCCACCAAAATTTTTTCACTGCACCACATCGCTTCTATGTAAATGAACACCAAATATATTTCGGATGCTCCATCTCACTCCCAAGAGGTCCCTTTCCAAGTCTAATTCTATGATCTGATCATAAGTGCTTAAAGTCACTATAGCCAAGCAATGGCTTTACCAATCATAACCAAATTAAGTAAAATAGGAATGGTTCCAAATTAAAGAACATTATGCTCATGTAAAAGCTGGCTGTCTTAAGCCTTTTATACCATGTATCTTGGCATCTATGCGCTACCTCTCCTTATGATTAAACCAGTTGAAAGACCTTTAATTTTCTTAAAAAGGTTAAATAACTTGTGTAATTACAAATCCAACATTCTGTGCTATAGACACCATCTATCACTTGCAATTAGGACAATTCCTTCTTTTGGGGGGTATAATTTCTTTAAACCCTATGTTTCAACCGAAATGCGAAGTTTTTATTTCTGCACAGGCTGAGAAAACTAGGGAAATGAGGCGGAGAAGTCAATAGAGGAATAGTGGTACCAAAGGAAGACTGTCATGTCAGAAGATCTGGTATTTGCCTTGCAGGAAAGAAAGCTTTATGAAGAATGGGCTAGGGTGTGGCATATGACTACCATCTCCCTCCCTTTATAACTTCCTGAACTTATTATTCCTTTCCAAAATGCATATCAAGAAGCTGAATTTTTATGAAGGGGTGAGAGGAAGAGGGAGGAAGAGATAAGAGGCAGCATGGCCTCATCACACTAGATAAATCATTTATTAAGCACTTACTATGTGTATACAACATCTTTCCTAATTTACATTGCTATGTTAAGTTAAAATATACTTGTATCCAGGTGGAAGGAAAATACAACTAATAATAAAATGTTTGATGAGACACAATGATTGCAATTTGCTTTAGCTATTTGCTAAACTTAGGAATTTAAGGTGGAAATTAGTTGGTAGATATTTGGTCCACATGCAGGTAAAGTTTAGCAGGAATGAGTATTGCACTGTATTTTACTACCGTCAATGCCAGCCAGATTCCACTGTTTTGCCTAATGGGATAGGCTAATAACGACAGAAACAAAAAGACTCAGATTTGATTCTAGTACTAGCTATTACTTTCCTGTAGCTCAATCCTGACCTTGTATCAATAATGCCACAGTTTCTCCAGCAGCAATATCCCTGACTTTGCCCAAAAGTCAAACAAGGCTCTTAAATAATGCTGGTTTCCTTTCCTTAGAAGTTACAGGACCTAACATGAGGTATACTCTGTACATGTTTCCAGCTAGACCCCAGAACCAATGTACACTGCTACAGTAGAGCTATGTAGTCACAAAGACCAGTGGACTGGCTGTCACTGGTGAGTTAGAGGTAAAACTGCTGAGGCAGGAAAATATAAAATCAAAGAATTTCCAGAGCCATCTAGGTCTAAACAAGCAGAAACTGATGAACAATTCCCTTTATATCACCTCCAACAAGTATTGCCCCACTCATTCTCTGTTTCAATAACTCCAGTGAGAAAGAACTAACTACCTCCAAGGGACAGTACCATTTCACTTTGAGACTGCTCTAATCAATAGAGGTTTTATGTTTACAACAAGCCTAAACTGGGCTTTGTATATTTTTAATACATTGCTACCCAGTAAAGAAAAAGCCAGCTATCCCATTAACCCCTCCCACACACACAAAATGTTCAAATAATTAATGGAAATGTTTTGAAATAATGGAAACATTTTAAATTAATGGGTTTTAAATTTCAAAATGTGGATAATATTCTAACAGAGAGTATACATGCTATACTTTTTATACCACCATAGTGAAGACTGTTCCACCTAATCTGATAGCAGTCATTTGTCTATGAATTGCAATATTAACTAATCCATTTCACTGTTAAGTTACATCAAAGCAAATTGATTAATTCTGCTTTGAAAATTTATGTCTGATTATAATATAATTGATATTTATGTAACATTTTGAGGTTTGTAAAGCACATTTTATTCATCTCATTTTATCTTCATGTCAACACTGTGAAGTAGTTAACACAGGTATTATTCCTATTTTACAGATGAAGAAATTGAGGCTCAGGTTAAATTATTCGCTCACAGTCCCACATCTAAGTAGTGTTAAGAGGCCAGATTTGAAGAGTTATCTCTTGACCCATTAACTTATCAGGCTACTTGCTTTCATCAGAGCACACTTTGAAAATAAGAATCCAGATTAACAACAAACTCTAGTGCTCTAGTGCTGAAACGCAATTATGGAATTTTAGAGTTTGAAGGTTTTAGAGAGGAGAAAATTCAGCATCCTTTCCCCTCTTCTCTCCCAGTGTGATCAAGATCACATAGTTAATTAGTTGCAGAGATAAACTGGAAGCAGTATATTTTTGTCTTAACTTACCTTTTCTAAACCAATTGGTCTGAAGCCTGAAACTCTAAAACTAAAAACTATCCCTAATAATTATCCCTAATCTATACAGTTCTATTAAAGTACTTTGAGGGGAGAAAAAGGCTTTTTCTAGAATACCTGTCATCTAAATATATATAACATAATGCATAAGCTAGTAATATGAAAATAAAAATCTTACCTAAGGCAACGTGTGTTTAGAGGCTGTGTGCTCTTTAAGCCACTTAACAAATACTCAATATCATCAGTAAACTCCTGATTTTCACCAAATTCCACTACATCGTTGAAGTGCTTCACATGCTGAACAACAGTGTATAACTGGAAGAGAATAATTCAGTAGTGTTGGTCTCTTTTGCAACCATGAAACAGGAATTTCATAACAATACAAACACTGGATTTAAAATTTTTTGCATAATATGTTACTTTGAGAATTCTTTATAAATTGGATTATAATATACTTCAAAAGTAGAAAACAAATATTTTATAAAATACTGAAGGATGAAGGACAAGTTTATTTTTGTTACATGTTTCATGATTGCTTCTATTCAGGGTACCAAATCAGTATTTGTGATAAAAATACGGCCAATGAATATCTATATCCAAAAATCCCTCATCTAAAATAAAATTATACACATCTGCTTACTTCTTTGTCTTCTTTCCTACATTTCAATGCAGTTACTATTTCTTGGTAGGGTTGAGTAGGTATCGTCACAGTTTTTATTACTTTGGGTGGTGGTGCAGGAGCCTTAAAAACTCCATCATCTCTCTGAATTGCCTCCTTTGAAGAAAGCCTCACCTATTAATAAAAAGGTATTAAATTAGCTGTTCTAAGCATGTACATACATATAGAGTAACACCACACTTATCCGGAACTTAGTTATCCGGCAATCTCACCCATCTGGAACACAGCAAAGAAACAGGAAGCAAAAAAGGCCTCTGAGCAGCTAAAACAGATGTTATAATGTTCATGCACTAAGTAAAGCTCATGCACTTTACTAATGAACGGCCCTTAAACTCAGAACCTATTTAATCTTATATTATACAGAATTTCAATGATTTTGGTTATTTGGTTTCCAAGCCCATAACAGATTAGAAGTAGCAAATTAGAAGGGATAAAAAGGAGTTGCTACAGAAAGACATATGAACTGTATCAAGAAGTGAAAGCTGAAAAGGGGAAAAGATAAAACCTATTTAAAAAAAAAATCTCAACCAGAAATGGCAACTATGAATATAATGCATATTTCAAGAGTTCCAAATAGCTGAAATTTTGCTACAAATGTAGCAATATTAATTTGTGGATAGGGAACACATGAATTATTCTTTCTGAACAAAATAATTATCACCACAGTCCTTTGCAAATAGAAGGTTTCAACTTTAAAAAGTTTGGAATTAGCCCACTATTACTGAGATGTAGGAAGCATAATTTACCACGTGGAAGATAGCATTACCAAAAAATTAATATAAAACTCAGCAAGTAGAAAAAATGCCTCAAAATTTAAATTACTTAATTTTTGATGCTATAATAGAATAACATTTCATATCTGAAAGGCTTCTGTCTTCCATACTACTCATGGTATTACAAATAAAAGCTGTCCAATTTGGAGAGACATTTAGTATCTCCAGGGCTTCTCCATAATACCCTAATCCAATATTACCACAATGTCAGAGGAATTCAATGGAATCAGTGATGGTAAGGGTTAAACGTAAACACACAATAAATTCAAATGAATGGTTAATTTATTAGAAACTTCAGATTATAAACATCATTTAAGATGGTACTAAATCAAGATAAAAAGTAACTCACTAATTCTTAAATGTTTCCTGTGATTACCTCTACATCTTCTCAGACTTCGATAAATTATACTATAAGCTTTCTAAATTTCTTTTAAAATTTGATTTCTACTCTTTTATTTCTTATACAACACTAATATAATTTGAGGCAACCCTGCCACTATTTAAGATGAACACAAAGATCAAGAAATACAGACTACTTACTGCGACACTCTGAGTTTTCAATACTGGTGGGGCGGGGAGTTCCTCTGATTCTGGATGGTTCCAATGTCTAGCATTATACACAGCTTTTGTCGGTGACTAAAAATGAAGCAAGGAAAAAAAAGTTTCATGTTACTTTGTGACTTCTCATGATTCAACAATCATTTACTGGGCTGCTAAAGAAAAAACAAAAGTTAGTAAAGAAATCGTCCTCACCCTCAACAAGCTCAGAACTTAGTTAAGGAAAATGAAAAAATACATAAGACGTGTTTGTTAAAGAGTTTTTGTGTTGGTTTGGATTAACGGTGAGTTCTTTAAAAAGGAGACATGTAAGAAGGATGGATAGTAGGTGTTATATAAGGAAAATGACAGGATCAGAGTTTTGTATAGGACAGATTGGATTTGGAGGAGAAACTAGAGGCAGACAAACCAGTTTGGTGGGTATTATAATAGTTCGGGAAGTAGAATGAACACAATACTGTGATTTAAAAGAGCTAGTTCCGAAAACAACAGTTTTATTTTGCATATCATATGATCAGAAAATAAATTAAAAACATAGGTAATAAGGTTCTGACCTAATATGACAGCACTGGGAAGAGGACAGATGAGATCACTAGCAATGGAAGAAGAATCACAGTGACTTAAGGTTATAAGGGACCTCAGAGGCTAAGTACCTGTACCTCAAAAAAAAAAACGGCCCCTCTTATCAAGTAAGACAAGTAACCTTTCATCTCCTCAGAGAATCCCAATAAGGGGAACCCCATCTTGTCTCAAGACAGTCCCTTCCAATTTTAGATAATTCCAATCATTAGGAAGGCCCTCCTCATATTAAATATGTATCTACTTCTCTACAACTTCTACACATCTGTCCTTTGCGGTCAAATACACCACAATGGTAGTAGAACCAATCAATACCCGTTGACGATTTTCTTTAATAGCACCAGGCAGCCATGCAACCCAAGCGGCAGCTGGCAGGGATCATCCAGGGATGGGCAAGGTAGATTTGGTGGGTGAAAAGATGGTTAAAATCTTTGATGTGGGGCCAGACTCTCTTAGGGAACCAAGCAAAACTAGAAGACTAAACTGAAAAAACTGGAAGGATCATTCATTCATTCAATAAACATTTATTAAGTGCCTATCAAGTGCCAGGCACTGTGTTAAGTGCTAGGGGATACAAAAACAGGCAAAAGACAGTCTCTGCCCTCAAAGGAGCTCACAATCTTAATAAAGGAGACTGTGTGCAAACAAATATAAACAAAGCAAGCTATCTATGGGATTAATAGAAAGAGTGAAAGCACTAGAATTAAGATTGTTTAGGAAATGTAGTGGGTGGGATTTTAGGTGGGACTTTACAAGCCTGGAGCTTGGGGCAGCTAGGTGGCACAATGGATAGAGCACCGGCCCTGAAGTCAGGAGGACCTGAGTTCAAATCCAGCCTCAGACACTTGACACTTACTAGTTGTGTGACCGTGGGCAAGTCACTTAACCCCACTGCGAAGAAGAAGAAGAAGAAGAAGAAGAAGAAGAAGAAGAAGAAGAAGAAGAAGAAGAAGAAGAACTGTAAACTAGTATCATTCAACACGAGGATAAAGTCATCAAAGATTATCTATATACTTGAGAGGCAGCATGAAAGAACAGTGGTCAGAGACCAGAAGATGCAGATTCTAGTCTCTACTATGCCATTTACTATATGCAAACTACAATGCTGGTAAGTCCCTTAACGTGTCTCCACAATTTTCATCATTTCATTAAAAGGAAATTGGAATGGAATATACCTTATGTGATCTAAAGCCATTCTGAAGTTCTATAATGACTATTCTTATAGTTGGTGCTTCATTAAATAATTCAAAATTATGAAGAATCATTTTTCTTTTATAATTACATTAATTATGTTTAAACAATACTGTGTCTGTTTATTTTAACAGTTTAAAATGAATTCCAACCAAAAACAGTAAAAAATTAAAAAATTCCTACGACTTAAATTAGCTTCTGATACTTGAGAAGTTAACAGTGTTAATTTGTAAACTGGAACATTTCCTTCTAAGTTATTTTCTCTTCAGGCATCAAACATAAGTGCAACATAACATGTACTTGTAATAAGGAAGAACACATTGTGAATATATTGAATAGCTGAATAATTTAAAACTATTATATAACTTTCCCTTTAACAATAGTTCCAAGTCTTACATGCTTAATATAGGGTTTAATCTCTACAGAAATGAAGTTGAAAAATAAAGAGACATCAGGTTATTAGTGCCTGAAATTAAAATAAATCATATGCAGATTTCTTACTTCGGTTTTTTTAGGGAAAAAAAACATTAACCACAAAAATTAGTTGAATCTTAGTATACGGCTCAAAACATCAAAACATGTCCACATATTTAAACTTAATTAGACCCACAACACATATCTAATTTTCTTTCACAAATGATAATCGAAAAATCCCACATACCTCAACACTAATTTGTGCATGCCCCCCTCCCCCCCCAAGCAGCACAGGACACATTTTATTTGTATGTATGACATAGCATAAAATATATTATAATGGACATATATGACTGGAAAATGGGTCTGTTATAGCGTAACAATGAAGCTAAGGGCATCAACAAACCGTTAAAACAACAAGAGCATGTTGAGTAGATCTTATATCGACAATCTACTGAAGGACATGGATGAGAATTTGATATGTGGGAAAATGGTAGATGACTTGCAACATACATCTTTGGAAAGAATACACCAAAGATCTCAGATCTAGTCAAAAAAAGAAAATACAGTTTTCTTCCTTATATGAATCTATGTATGTTATCTATCCAGACAGTGACTATATATGATGGAGCTAGACTTGGTGACAAGATATCTCTGTTCAAATGTTTGAAGGGCTTTCTTGTAGAGAAAGGATCAGATTTGTTCTGACCAGCCCTAGAATGCAAACTAAGGAACAATGGGTGAAAGTTACAAAGAGGTCAATTTAGGTTTCAGGTCAGGAAAAACTTCTCAACATTAGAGCTATATAAAAGTGGAATTACTTCTCTTAAGTGGTGGTATGTTCTTCTTCCTTACAAGTACTCAAGAAGAGGCTGGAATTCCTGGAATTCCTTTCAGTTATACGCTACACTAGATAGTGCCTGAAGTCCCTTCCAAATCTTAAATTTTGTGATACGTAACCATATATAATATATGCACCCGTGTGTGTGTGTGTGTGTGTGTGTGTGTGTGTGTGTGTGTGTGAGAGAGAGAGACAGAGAGAGACAGAGAGAGAGAGAGAGAACAAGAGCACACACATGCTATGGTCACTAATCCCAGGCAAATTTTCAGGGAACCACATTAATTGATAAGTTTCATAATTAATAGTTACTTTTAGCTCTATAACTAGATATGCCTTACGAACAAGATGGGATGAATGATAAGTGCAGTACGGTTAGCTTAAACTAGCTAAACAACTAGACTCAAACACCAATGTTAATCTTCAGCAAGGTCTTTAGCAGAAGATTATAAGGTTCAGCTTCAGCCCTATTCACATCTATTTATGACTTATAATATGAAGGCATAGATGGAACGTATTTCAAATTTATAGAAAATAAGGAGAAAAAAAGCTAATATGTTGAATGACAGATGGAATTTAAGAAGATGAAAAACTTCCCTTCTCTTGCCTTATTCCCTCATCTGTAAAATCAGATGTCTTCTGAAGGTTTTCCCAACTCTAAATTTATGATCTTATAATAAGGGAAAAAATCCTGTATGTGTATTCAAAAAATCAAATGCAAAAGCACAGAACTCAGGAATAGAGAAAAGTATGGTTAGAAAACAGTTCATGGGAATGAGGTTATATAGTACAAACTTAATGAATCTTCAGTGTAGTATGGTAGCAAAAAAAAAAAGGCGCTAAAAAGATATGAGCTAGATTTCTAAGAGCAGGGAATAAAAGAAAAATTACTATAACCACTGTATTTTGCTTGGGTTAGGCCACATAAAAAGATAAACTGGAAAAGAACATTTTTGTTTTCACAATCTAAAGAGCTAGGTTTGAAATCAAGCTCTGCCCATTACAACCTGCTTAACAATGGAGATGTTATAGCCTTTTTAGGCTTTGTCATGTTTGCTCACCTATAAAATGAGAGGGTTGGACTACATGATTTTTAGGACCCCTCTTCCAACACTAAATCTTATGACCCCGTATGTGGAGAGGAAAAAGGATGATGTGAATATTCAGAGCCATAACATCCAAAGGCCAGTGGAAGAAACTAGAGATGTTTTAGCCTGGAGAAGCTTGGGAGGTGAAGTTGATAACTGTCTTCAAGAATTTAAGGGGCTATCACATGGAAGAGGGAGTACAGGAGTTTCCTATTATAGCAAAAACAGAAAACATTTATTAGAGGTGCTGTTGAGGGGATTTCTAGGGTGAGGATTGGTCTGCTGAGTTCTCTTCTAATTCTGAGATTAAATTATTCTAAGATTCTTAAATTTTTCCCTCATACAATTCTCTGGAAGGCTTATTGTTGGGTATCAAGCTCTCTCAGAATCTGATACTAAGATAAGACTAAGAAATAGCCCAGGAAAGCAGATTTTTTAAAAAGCTATGCATCATATTCTTGAAACATCTCTAACCAGCTTAGCTTCTCATCCCAATATTCTCAATCACTATTTAAGAAATAAAGTCTATATCCTTTGCATTTTAAGATAAAGCACTACATGATAGCAGATCAACTAAACGACAACACTGAATTTCTACATAATCAGACAAATGTAAATACATATTAGTTAAAGAAAACACTACGGGAAATCTAACAAATGGATACAATTAATTCTCATCATTCGTGGTAGTTAACTGTGCAAAGTTGCTGTTAACACTCAATCAGAAATACCGAACCTGTTCCTTGGGGAAATACAGGGTTAGGTTCCTGTAAGCCTTTGGTCAAATTTACTTTAGCAGTTTCAGGAGTGGCCTCATGTAGATAACGGTGAATTTCCCCTTCCTTTTTCTGGATGTATCATAACATGGATTCATTAACATTGAACTCATAGCCAACAGCATTATAACTCATGCCTGGAGGAAGTTTATCTAGCATTTTTTTTCCATAAGGCCCATCACAGCCTTCTTG